ATATAATGTTAAGTCAAGCATGATTTTAAAATATACATATGATAATTTCTATATGCTAGGGCTTTATTAGATAGCTGCAGTAGAGAAATGACAGTAAGTGAGGGGAGGGAGAGATAGCCAATGGTCTCCAGCTGGATGTGAACCAGGGATGTCGTGGGTCATGGTTGTCAGCATGGGGCACCGTGGTGACAGAGGTTTGAAATTAAATTTAAAGACCATGACTGCCCAGTCAGAAGTCCATCTGTCCAGTGTACTGTAGGAAGGGTTCGTGTTGATCCTTGAAGGGGAAATTTATTTGTTTTAAAACCCAGTTGAAATCTTTACGTAAATATCTCTTGATTGTGGAGGTTGCCTTTTTAATTTTTTTTTGCATCCTTTCTTGATATCTGCACATGTGCATGACTACAGTAGAAGGAAAGGGATTGGGGTTTTGCCAAATATATTACATGTAAGGTATGGTAAGGATCAGGCAGGTAAATGGTTCGGTCAAAGTTGTGGTTACAGTAAAATGCCCACGCATCTCCCCAACCTCCACATTAGTTGATTCTGCCAGGGTACATATAGAGCACACTACTTTCTGATCTAGATTTAAATGTTACCACTGGACACAAATCATGACATGTGGAATTGTCCACTGTTGACATAATACCTAGGCTAGTTTAACACTAGTTTAAACAAAAGGACCACTACTCACTTTACCAATACACTTATCTAACCAATCAGAGAAGCAAACTGACTACAAGCTCCCGCAGATGTTCATATAGCACAGTATAGACAGTGGAGAGACAGACAGACGGGCAGAGGCAGACAGTCAGGTCCACTCCCCATACCTGATGTGGCTGCCAGTTGCCCCCTGCTGTTGTTCAGGTCCAGTGAGTATGAAGTAGCAACCAACCAACCGACCAACCAATCTGCTGCCTCTGCGTCTCAGGGCCCTGAGCCCTGGGCTTGAAGATGTTCTGGATGACTTCCAGATCTCATTAACCTTGGACCGAGGGTCTAGAATTAGATCACAGCCCCAAAGGCCAGTGGGTCAGGATACTATTCTCCTATCCCCTGCTCGGCTCTAGTCTACTTGCTTCACAGGTGTACAGTATATACAGTATATCCCAATCCTGACATATCTCTCCTGTCAAGTGTCAGGTGGGTGACATCCACACAACATATTTACTTCTAACTTTGATAGTATCAATAAAAAAGCCTGTGTCTCCAATGGGTATTTTGTTAATAGAAATAATAAAAATCTTCATTGCACATTATGATGTGTTGTATTCATTATTTTACATAATATATCTTATAAATACAAGGCACTACAGGCATGATTATATACTTTATTTTACAAGATTAGATTACAAGAGTATTACAACTGTTTATAATCTCTGTGCCCATTTGGCATTAAAGGTTATAATCATTTTACTTTGATCAACTCTGATAGATGGAGAGTATGGTCAGGACGTGCACTGACATCTTTAGGACTGATCTTCTGAAGATGGGAAATAGTAGGGGGTGTTAAGATTCATATATAGAGATAAGGACAAAACTCATTTATAGTGACTTTTAAAATTCAGTGAAGTTTGTTTGATGAATTGTCTGATGTCATTTATGATGAATCATTGTAGTTGATGTCTGCCGAGTCCTTAGCTGTTGTTCTGTTTCCGCTGTGCTTCCACACATCCACTGTAAAGGTTGATCCTGACACCAAATGGGCTCCGGTGTCTGGATCAACAAACAGTGTGACGGTAATGCTGTGCCTCTGTCTGACAGGAAAACATACGGTACAGTATGTTTTCTCAGTGTCAATGCACCCCTGTGACACTTGATGCAGACAGGAGCTCTTGCTTCATCATTATTACATGACACACTGTGATGGTCTTAACGCCTTCTATTATTTTCAAATAATTCTTATTCATACTTATTTTTGCAGCTGTTATAAGACATCTTACTGCATTATGAAGGTGCAATTTAATGCACTGTGCGTTTTTCATGTACATTCAGTGCTGATATGAACTTTTAATAATTTCTACGTGTGTTTCTTTGACCTTTGACTGTTGCAGAACTGTTATAAAAGGGATTCACTGTAGTAACAAACACACAACACACATTCAGTCTAGCCCTGCTGCCTCCTTCCACTGTGCTGTTTTGTTTTGGCTCTCATGCTCAAAATTCACCAGACCATCATCAGCCTAATGTGTAAATCTACTCAATGCCAAATCTTTTTCATGCATATGGGTCAGAAGTCGTATTCATGGGGGAAATAATAGAGATTTATTGTAAGTAACACATTCACCATGACTAGCTTGCATGCTTGCATATAAGGAGAAAATTGTTGTCCATCGATGGATCAACGGTGGTATTTGATTTGCAGACATTGGCTTATGTTTTTCCAGCCACAGTCTCCAGGCTTCATTCACAAATGACAGGCTGTCCGGTTCGGCTCAGTGTGCTCTTTGTCACCGGGCTGTTGCAGTGTCCACTGGCACGTGTGTTCGTGTGTGTGCATACCAGCGCGCGTGTGTGTGTGCTAACCTTCTTGCCACCATGTGTGCATCCATCCTCGGGTGATGCATGGTCAGCCATTGTACAGCAGCACTGTGGCCTTGGAACAGAGCCTGGCCAGACAGATTGCAGAAGGAAGCTGTGAGGTTCGAAAAGGAACATCCCCTCAGTTCAGCGAAGGTCGGACAGAGGCATCATTAGGTTGACAGAGTCTGAAACAGGGTCTAGTGGTGTGGGGGAGTTGACTGACGGTTTTTGACTCAAGGACACGTCGGTATCAGAGGTTAATGACAGAGGCAGCCTTGGTACGCTGTAGGGGATGCCACTTATCATACTGATACAGATAGCCTGTGGGGGGGGGGGGGCGTGTGTGTGTATTTGTGTGCTGTATGCATGTGTGAATGTCAAGTTTCTGAGGTCAATATCAGCTTGAATACTTTTAATGTATACAATAATTCAATAGCAAATATTTAACATTTTGACATTTGAACATTTTTAATATTCTTTATCTTACTCAATCATGGGATATATGACATTATATTGTAATAAAGTATTACAATGATTGTCATTAAACAAAGAGTCTCTAATTCTGATTCTGAACAATACATCTTGGAATACCAGATTCCAATGATTAGAGCTGTCTATTTTAAACTGTGCAATACTGGTCATTAATACAAGAAATGTTTGATTTAACCAGTCTTCACATACAATCCTCAAACAGATAAACAACACTAAAAATGTCATTCCTCCATGTGTGTGTTTCCGTGCGTGTGTGTATGTGTGTGTGTGTGTTAACGTCTGCCTCAGTCCTAATTGTCCCCATTTGATCAGGGCAGTCGTGGTTTTGGGTGCTTCCTTGTCCTCCCTACAGCTCCATTTATCACAGGCAGCAATGGACACGCAAAGGCACTCGGTGCTTCAAGGTGATTCCCTTCAAATTGCTCAGCTTGTGTTACCTTGTTAAATCGATGTGCTTGGTGACAACCAGCAGCAATGGAAATCTCACCAGGCGGGACACTTTAGCACGTCTCTGTGACATGGAAGGCTTCAGGGGTTACAAACACAATGCAAGCATTCTGTGCCATCTTTTCTATTTCAATATGCAAATTTTAATACCAGAACTTGGGTTTGATGGTAATACACGTGTTTTGTGTGAATTTGCAAGCAACAGAAAATCTCTTCATTACACGCTTTCATACACAGGGCTTCTGGAAGAAGATCAGCAGTTTTGGCAACAGATTTCATGCACCAGACCAAGGTTTAGAGCCCTTCTCTCTGTTAGGAGAGAATGAGGGAGCTACAGATCTTTATGCATTTTTAAAATTATAAAATGGTCAGAAGCATTTATCTCACCCTTACTTGCTAATTCTAGGACTGTATGTCTTCTCTGCAACAGCACTGCTGCTGTTTTAAAATAACGTTGCATAATTTTGTCTTTATCTGTGTATGTAAGACACAATCACTTTTGGTTGAATGATGTTGTGGCCTTAAAAACTGTACTGTGTGTGTATGACATTTGATTCAGCATCCCATTCAGTCTTTACAGTTAAATAGCCTGGTGCAGAATGAAGTGCTGTATGCATTTTCATGCTATAAGCTAAGATCCCTTTTTGCCATGTAAATATGTTTTCTATTTATACTATTGCATGCACAGTAGATTTTTCACACGCCCATGGTACACCTACACAGGTGTTTTGAAAAAGCTCTATTTCACTGTGCATTTGGAAGGCATTAACTGAAATTTGCATTTTAAAAAAAATGTTTTGACAGATAATACATATTTAGTCAAAGTCAAATTCTTCTTTCAGCTCCACTGTGGTTTCTTCCTAGCTGCACAACTTTTCATCTCACTGATCTCATGATGTTTTTTTTTATTGAAGCCATGGGAAATTGTAAACCAAAACTATAAGAAATATTAATTCTACAAGAAATAATGGTAATAATTTCCTGTAAAATGATAATCATAATTTTTAATAGTCAGAGCAGAGGTTCTCAAAACCAAAACAGATGGTCTCATTATATTTTGGTGAACTTTGCTGCATCAATTTCCATATTTGAAAATAAAACCAGATTTTCATGAATCTGTTAGTATTTAATTCTCTAAGATATGAATTTCTGATAAATATTGTTATCATAACTGATAACGCTGAATTCCGAATGATTATTCATATTTTCAGCAAACAACGTGTGACCCCTTGGGGCCCTTATGGGTAGAGATATAATGATTGCGACCCCTGGTGCCCTCCCAACGCCACTGGGCTAGAGTACTGTCAGTACCACTTTTCATGTAATACCACCTTTATAGGGCACATGGCACGCAAGAACCTGAAGATCCGGCCCTAACCCCACCCCCCTACCCGACTGGTTCTTGATCCCCTTGTGCCACCTCATCAAAAAATCCTTCAATCACCCCTGGTTTTCATGTAACATTTTCACCTGTATGTTCTTAACATGGCTTGGCTTTGCTCTCATATGTTTTCATATCGTCTTTCTGTCATCCCCAGCGTGCCACCCGGGCTTCTACAAGGCATATGCTGGAAACATCAAGTGTTCAAAGTGCCCTCCACACAGTTTCAGCTATGGAGAAGGGGTTGCCATCTGCCGTTGTGAGAAGGGCTTCTTCAGGGCTGAGAAAGATCCTCCAACTATGGCTTGCACACGTAAGTAAGACCAAATACTCATTAGACACATAACCACATAGATGTGCAGAGCTTTACAGGCTGGATTTGAACCCCAGCCCCTGCACTAAGGACTCAGCCTTGATATGTGCTACATTGTCTAAGAGGTGAGCTTCCAGGGCACCTTTAGTCATCCTTTTAGATATGATCGGCATCATGGGAGAATTTTGAACCTTGCTGCTATTTACTGTGGTGGACTCTGACTCATATCCCTGGTGATGACAAAAAATGATAGTCAAAAGTAGTGTTCAGGAGATGGAGAAAGTTTGTTGATTTTGAATTCACATTAAATATCTCTGTACTTGTGTATGTGCAACAGCCTGGGTAAGTTATGACTCTGTCTATAGAGCTGGTGGATTACTCCAGTGGTCTCTCAGAATTCACTGTGGCCGTAAATCCAGTCTTGTCTCCAGGACTTATCTGGTGTGAAACTGTGCATTAGAGAGTCTCATGGATGAATTACATGGCTTTTGTTCAGCTGCCTCGTCTTCATCGATGATTCACTGACTGTCATTACGACTTCATATTTGCATTAAATTACAGTTTAACCGGACTAATTCTCCTTTAATTAAAAAGCCATTTAGCTGTCACTGAGATAGACGGGGGCCACGTCTGAGAGCTCTCCAGGGTGAAAGACTGTATTTGTCTTTTACGGCAAGACAAAGCCAAGTCATTGTGGGGATGCTGTGAGTTTACAGTGCCCTGCAATGTGCACTGTAAAGCTTGGCTCTTCATACAATGTTTTCAGTTCTAAATCTAGACTCAGATGTTGCAAAACCTTGGTTCTGCTCATAGAAATCCAGTTGTTGGACAGCTCCTAGAGCATTTATCTTGAGGGGTTAACTGCATTCATACCTGTCAACAAAATCTAAAAATAAAGTGCTGATCAAACAGCTTTAGATATGTCAGAAAAGTGGTGTTTTTTTTCAAGATCCAGCTTTTCAATAGTTGTTGTCAGTTGTTAAACTAAGTGTTCAGGTCACGCACATATGCTAAATCTTAAAGGCCACTTTTGGTACCAGTACAAACAAACACAGTGTATAAAGGCTTGTGGGCGTGTGACAACCCAGCAATCTAAGGGGAGTAGACTACCACATCTATTTTTTCCAGCTGTGAAGTTGTATAATGCATTTTAATCAGGAGCTTGTAGGCCGGAGCATAAACTGTTTTCTTGCTTGACATCTAAGAAAAAAAAAAGAGAAATGGAGATTAAAGACTGAGGACCTGAAAGGAAGACAAAGGTAGAGAGCAAGAAAGAGGGGATGTCACAGGAGGAGAGATAAAGGTGGAGAGAAAGTGTGAAGGCTGGTTGGCGTAGATGTGAAGAGAGAAAGGAAGGAGGGTGATGATACCAATCTCCCCCAGAGGAGAATAGCAGCTGAGTGATGGCAGTGGGGTTGCTCTGCAGGAGGGGAGATGGGTGGATTCTCCACGATGGAGAGAGTAGAGGAGGTGAGATAATGGCTGATGGAGGCCAAAAGATAGAGAGAGAGAAGAATGGACATACGCTGACAGAGGTGCAAGAGGGGTGGGAGGAGCCCTCCTGTCTGCTGAGATTTTTAGCAAAGGCAGGGAGGGAGAGGGATGGAGGGATGGATGGTATAAAGGAGAGGGAAACATCCCATTGTCTGGGCAGACAGTGAGCTTGGCAGGATGGGAGTGTTCAAATCCCTCAGGCCTTTTAACTCCACCCTGTTGACAGCTGGCTGCTTCCTATAGCACAATACTTACCCTGACACACAAACACACACATCCCCGACAGCACCAAAATACCTCCCCGAAGTGAAATGTGAGGGAGGTGAAATAACTTAGAATGTTTACTGCACAGGATAGGAATGCATTATGAAGAGTTATGTGGTACAGCAATAATGTGTGATATTTAACCATAACAATTTTATACTGCAATGTACCTCTGTGAAATACAGCTATTAAGTTTGTAGGGATTCTTCAAACTCAGATGAACAGACTGTGCTGGTGTTTGTGTAAACATTTAGAATACTGTGTTAGCTGTGGTGTACATCAGGGGTCAGTTTTGGGTCCTGTGTTTTTCTCAGTATATGCGCTCCCTCAAGTCCCATAGGTTGAATGCATTTTAACTTTACCTGGATGACATATGATTGTATGTTCCCTTCTGCGTAATAATATGGGCGTTGTGGTTACTCTTTTATGAAATTTAGTGACTTGAAATCCAACTCAACTGAGATAATAGTGATTTTTATTTGATTTTTATTTGTTTTGTTTGTCATAACTCACTTGATCAGTTAAGAAATATTTCCAAAATGAAATCATTTTTCCAGAATCATTTCTTCTGTAGCCTGTGATCAACCTTTTTGTTTTGCCCATTTCAGTTATTCTGACATTTACAGCCTTGGAAAATTTTCCCATAGAGGAACAAAAGCAGAACATTAGCCAGAGCTTTATTTGAATTATAAAGCAGCTGCTTGGCTTTTAAATGGAATTATGGAGTTTAAACTCCACACGGTTAATTGTGTATTTTCTTTTTTAACCATCAGCTGATTCATCTACTGTTCTTTTTTTCCTCCAGGCCCTCCATCTCCTCCCCGCAACTTAATGTTTAACCTGAATGACACCTGTCTGATGCTGGAGTGGTCACCTCCCAGCGACACCGGGGGCCGCCGGGACCTCACCTACAACGTCCAGTGCAAACGCTGTGGCCCCGAGCCTGACCAGTGCCAGCTGTGCGAGGAGGAGCTTCGTTTCCTGCCGCGACCATTAGGCCTGACCAACGCCACTGTCACTGTCACGGACTTCTCAGCACACGCCAACTACACCTTCGAGATTGAGTCACTCAATGGTGTGTCAGACATGAGCTCCTTCCCTCGCCCGGTAGCTTTTATCACCGTCAGCACTGACCAGGGCGGTGAGTATGTGCTTTTTGAATTTTACTTGTTGAGAGTCACTTGAATTTATCGCTTTTACTGCAGCATATGATCTTTAAAAGGTGGCTTCTGCATTGTTAGGGTGAATAAAAATCACATCACTAGTTCACTGCAGTGTGTCAGGGATCATGTTACAAATGAGTTTTCTTCAGCAAACATTTTAATGAGAGTTAGATTAAGTCCAACTTCTCATACTGTGCATTATTAATCTTTACTGGCACTTTCATACCACTCTTATAATCCTCTTGTCCTATACACAGCTGCCATAGAGTGAAATGAGATCACAGTGTATTTACGCTATTATTCAGATATACATTAATTATCACTAATTTTGATTATTACTTAGCTGTGTTAGCTTTCCAGCCATGATGAGGTTTCCATATATCAGTGTGTCCTCCCTCTGTAAATATATGAAAGAGATATTTCCATCACATTATTGCATTGGGTATGATAGGAGTCTGGTGCAATCCATAATAATGCTGGACCTAGTATGGCTTTATGAGGTTAGGGGGTGAATACAAATGCATCTGCATCATTCAATCCCATATGTTAGCAGAATAACTGAAATGCTAATTAGATTTTAGTGAAATTTTATGGTAGTTAGGCCATGAGCCAGAGAACACTTGGCAGGAATAGTGCCACCATATGGTAAGAACATTTCAAGTTTGTTTTCATGACTCATTTTTCCTGGATCTTTACACAGTGCAGACTATGGAGCTGTGAAAAGATCATTCCCTATTTTTAAAGGTACCCTGTGGTGTTTTTGACCCACTAGTGAGTCAGACCCCATGTTGTTTGCGCATGCACATGAAGGTAACACAATACACATTTCTGCCAGTGGTTTCACATTATTCAACCAATCAAGGGGGTGGCGATACACCCGCAAATGGAGCAATGTGCTACCAGAGGCAGGACAGAGGATGAATGTTAGCTAGTAACAGGGATGTTAATGATGAAGGTTTCAAAATGTTCAAAATTTGGCTTTGCGAATGTTGGAAAGGAAAACCTTTGTTTGACATTGACACACAACATGCGAAACACATATATATTATATATATATATTTCAAAAAAACTCCACTTGGCAACTTAAATGTTTTGCTATTAAATTGAAAAAAAGTCAAAAAGGTTTTTCATTATTTTTGAAAAAGGGGGATTCCGTTTGCCGGTAATTGTTTGCCACACTCATCCTCTGTAGGTACAGCTTATCTAACAACTGCAATAACTGTTGAATAAATGACAATAAAATGTCAAAACAGGTGCACTCACATCAAATTAGAGCAATTCTACGAAATTTGATGGCATCTCATTTATAGATGGCAAAACTAGATTGATTGTAAATAACAACAAAACACTGGTCATGAGTTTGATGTGGAATTCTCCACACTTAAACCTTGAACCTTTATTCCAAGATGAGCTATTCTCTGAAAATTCATGACCACCATAAGCAACTGAGGATGTCTTCACTGTGTATTTTGGCTCCAGATTCATGATAAGCAGTTATAATTATTTGCTGTTGTTAAAATCACCAATTTAAAGGATAGCAGTGCATTGAATTTTCAAATTTGTAGTTAATCATACTTAGATGAATACTCGATTTTTACTGTCGTCCTCCACAGCCTTTGATGCAGTCAGCAGAGAAAGACTAGAGTTAACTCAGAATGACATTACAGTTAATGTTCCTCTTGTATATGTAGTTTTGTGTTTAACTGCTGCTGTAAATAATGGCAGGAGGCCAAGGAGAGGTTGTCTCTACCTACCTACTTGCTCTGAATAAGGTTTTTATGCTGAAAGGCCCATATTTCCTCTGGGACATGGCTTGGTGCGTAGAACGCTTATGCTTTTAATTTGTGATTTGCAAACACTGTGTTTTCTGTTTTCTCACTCCTCCTGCTCCCATCCTCCCTTGACTATTCTCTCACCTCTTTTTTTCTGTCGGATGTTTGTCCTCCCTTTCCTCTCTCTCCCGTTTCCTGCTTCCAAACGTGTTTGGGTTTTTTTTTTTCTTTCTTATTTGTTCTCTCCTACTTTCTTTCTCTCCTTCTCTCCATCCTTCTGTTGCTGTGGGAGTCTGGGAGAAATACATTTACTCATACAGCCAAAACACATTTAATGCATTATTCTATGTCACCGGGGACAACTCTAGCCTTTACAGGTAACTCATTGCTACACGCAGCCTTTTTATTTCATTAGGATGCCCACTTTAGCACATAGTCGTGGCAGGTCCCCCGGCTGTACACAAGACCCATTTCATCACTAATATACCGAGCAGCAGCTATTTAAAATGCTCAAGGGAAGAGGCAGATTCCTGGCCCTCAGCCAGTGATAAATGATGTGTTTAACTACTATCACCTTGACAGAAACTAGAGTTTAGTTTAGTGAGTCCATGGACAGTATCATGCATGTGAAGGTTATTGATTACATACAGCAGCGAGCTGTATGTTGGTTTTAAGTGTACAGTGTGCCATCCAGCCCATGAGCTGATGATCCTGCTTTGTCTTTCAGAATACTTGTGAATAAACATATGTGATTGCAGCCCAGCACTATGAATGGAAACTAATGAACCTCTCACCTTCTCCCACCCAGCTCCGTTTTTTATATGTTACCAAGCTAACTGCCAGTGCTCCAGATGGAACCATGGAACCAATCTTAATGATCAGGACGTACAAACAGACAAGATGTCTCAAATATTGTGACATAGTGTAGCTTCATTTACGCTATGAGTGGTGACTGACACATTTTGGTCTCAGGGCTTGCTGTAGCTGTACGGTTCCATTGAGAACCACTGAAAAGGAATATAGATGACTCAATGCACAAACTCGACACTTCCTGTGTGTGTGTGTGCATGCGTGCATGCGTGCGTGCGTGCGTGCCTGCCTGCCTGTGTGCAAAGTCTGTTGATTAGAACTCTGAGATGAGATTCTGCACGCCTGTCTATAAGCTTGCATTTTACACACCATACCATGTTAAGTCTTCTGTTCACACTTCAGCTAGGAGCTAATTTTAAAGGATTTGTAACTGACAGTGAGATTAACACATATAAAATGGAGGATGATGATTCACACACACAAATAGCACACAAAGTACCAATTACTTCTGTCAGTTTCTTTTTTACCATAGAGCTTAAAATATAATTATTTGCGGCTTAGGCCAAGAAGTTTTACAAACTGCATCAGCCAGTTAAACTCTAGCTCATGTCTTTTTTGTTTTTATTTATTTATTTATTTATTTATTTATTGTGAAATGTACTCTTCGATATGTAAGGAGCTTCTTAAAAAAATAAACTGCCTCTCAAAGAGGGTTTTCCTTTGAGATGCACTGACTTTGAAAAATTCCATTTGCTGCTTTTGTGAAATAAATGTGCTGCAAAAGTCATCCATCTCAACAAGTAATTTGGCTTCATCTTCAGTGCATCTTCAAGTTGTTTTCACAAGTTATCTCAAATTGAATCTAAAAGAAAATCTTATATATAGATAATTACTGAAACAAGTTATTTTTCAATTGGAAAGACTACACAATTTACTTCTTTTGTGAAATAAATAACTTCTTTCTTTTTCCTTATCCAAACCAGGTGATATTTAACTTTTAATTGGTTAGAATGACACCACTGGTTGAGAAATGGATCAGACCAGACACAGTGGGAGCAGACTGTGTTTTCAGTTCAGTGATACACAATCTTCTTGTCATGGTCGCAGAAAAATGCAAACCACTGGAAGAATCTATCACCTAAATAGCTTGATATTGTAAAACTCTTCTTCTGCAGTTGTGGTACTGAACTACTTTAGCAGCAATTACTCTCCCCAACAAACACAGCACTGTGAAACCCACGGTTACATTTGTGTTGCCTGTATTTAGATGCACCTTCAGTATTTCATCTGAATCATGTTCTGCAATAAATTATGCATACTTTTGCACATATGCTTCCCCAGACACATACACCTGAACGTCTCTGTGATGAGCCGGTTTGGAAAGGTGCACAGAAAATGCTAGAACCATTAGCATAGCGTTGCCATCAGCAGAAACGAGGCAGCCATGTTAAATTCTATGTGTGTCTATGTGGGGAATATCAACAGTCTCCTGTGATAATGTGCAGTAGCCATAGATAAATTACTTAGTCATTAAAATGCAGATGGCCCTTTTAGTGAATGCTTTGTGGCAGTGAGGTTAGTCTATGATTTGTTGGGCCTATGTGGGGTTGCTTGCAACACACACACCAGTACTGTACAAATGCATGAGTGGCGTAGAGAAACTATATAGGGCTGTGATAATTTCCTGTCAGGCATAACCTTTTCAATATTTGGTGATTCATACAGTGAAGCTCATCTGATGTATGCATCAATCTTCATGACACACACACACACACACACACACACACACACACACACACAGATGCGCTGAGACTGAGTGTGGAGAATTATAAAGCATGAGGATTAACAGCAGGGGAGTGTCTGGGCCTGGAGTAAATCCCCTCATATTTGGAGGAAGAGAATAAGAGTCAGGGGAAATTATGTGTGCATTTGCGGTTCTTGAAGTCAGCACCAGGAGCATGGCACTGCTGTGATCTGCCTGACTTACCAGCTTATGGTCAACATGAGGACAGAAAGGTTCACACCCAGAGGTATGATCTGTGCTGAATTATTTTTAGTCTGTACTGTTGAACAAAGAAGAAACTTTGTGCACTTCCAAATTGTTTCAATAGCCTATCTGGTCTGTGAACAAGCAGCGTTTTCCCAAACACTTGACAATTTAATGTAGTGTAGTTGCCCACATGTGGCAGTGATCAAGGAAGCACTGGGTTTTTTTCACAAAGTAGGTGACTGGGTCAGGAGGAAGAGAAAAGAGCACGAGGCAGCTGGTGGACAAGTGACAGGTGAATATGGATGGTGGAAGGTGAAGTGAAATGAGGGAATAAGTCTGAGAGGTAAATAGAGAGGAAGAGCGACTCAGGGAAAGAAAAGAAGAGAGACAGAGAGGCGTTATGGAT